CGCTGAGCAATCGAGCGCATGCGCTATATACAGATATAGTTATGTCTGTATGCATGTCCACCCATGTGTCAATCGCAGCGCAAAGCGCTCCTTTGATCACCGCTCCTCTTCCAGCTCCTTGCGCTGTTTCTGCGTGGTTCGCGCTGATGAGATCTATTTTCGCAAGCGCGCGGCTTGGCGCGCTGCGGGCCCCATCGTCCGTTTACCACCGTTTGTTTATAGTCTGGTTCAAGTTTGGCTAGGCCTTTCCGGGTGTCTCGGGTGGTCTTCGCCGCAAGTGGGAACGCGCGCGCGCCAGGGGCTCGATGGGTGACCTTCGCCGAAGATAGTGACCGTAGCCGTCTTGTCCTTGACCGTGTCGTTCTGGCCGCCCCCGTGGCTCGGCGGCCTCCGCGGTGACGGTCTGCGCCAAAAACGAGAACCCGAAAGCGGGCGGCAGGAGTCGCAGCCGCAGCCGCGGCGACGGGCCCGGGCTCCCTGAGAGCGGCACAGGCGACGACGAGATGATCTTCATGGCAGCGGGCTACTTGCGCTCCGCGCGTGCGTGCCTGGTCAAGATGCAGGACGTCATGCGCGAGTGGGGCCCAGAGGATCACGTGGGCCTCCGTTGTCAGGTCCAGGAGTGCAGTCAGAAGATGGAAACAACAACGTCGGTATTCGAGTCGGCGAGGTCGGATTTCCTTGAGACGAACCGCGTGATTGCCGCTCTCGGGGGCGTTGTTAACGCCTCTACGTCTTCGGGGGCGGAGCCAGCGATTCGGATTGAATCGGATTGGGCGGCAAGCGCTGCGTGGGCGGCCTGAGCTCGAGCGCACGCGCTATGACTAAACACCGCTCTTCCTCCTCGTCCTCCACGTAGTCGTCCTCCCCCTTCTCCCGCGGGTCCCTTGGCCCTAAGTTGCGAGCCCGGGGTTTCCCGTGTTGGTGCCGAAACATAAAGGGTCAGATATTGAAATTGGTAGTGGCAGCGCAAGCGCTATGATGGGCGGTGGGCAGGCTGAACTAGCGGAAGAGGGGGGGGGGGAGGGGGGAAGAGCGCTTGCGCTTGGAAAGGGTGGGGGCCACAGCGAGATCGATCGACGGCGCGAGGGCTGGATGGAGCGCGCGGCGCTAATATAGCAGCATGGGGGAGGGGGCCTTTTTTCCAGCGCATGGCGCTGTGCCAATCGCAACGCTGCGACGCCGTCGCCGCACATGTGCCGCGCAGGCGCCGAGAGCACGGCGCCCGCGCGCCACGACTGGATGGCGCCTCCAACCTTCCATCGGTCGGGGTGCGCTGGCAGCGTGACCACGTGCCCGAACGTCCCCACCAATGCCAGGTGATTGCCATCCTCAACGAGGCAAACGCGCACTCCGCCAGCAACTCCTTCGAGCAGAACGATGCCACCAACCTCGATGGTAATGCCAGAGACATACATTCGATCTGCTATTGGCACCCGCGTCCCATCAAGACACGACGTCTTCCCTGGGAGGCCATCGCCGAACGCGCGGTCCTCCAAGGCCATCAGGTGGACATTAATCGAAGACGCCAAGCATGACGCTTCAAAGTTCCTGGTATTGTCGATCGGGCCCATGCAATACTTTATCCTGATGTGCAACCGCTCGACCACACATGCATATATCGCAGCAGCGCTGTCCCCCCCCCCCCCCTCGCGTTCCCACTGGTCGGCCACGTCAGCCGTCGTGTGGTGCTTCGGCAGGATGTTCGCTGTGCCGTGCGCCTCTTTATGCAATCGAAGGTGCTCGGCGTGGTGGGCTCGCCGCAACTGCGCCGCCCCTTCGCGCAAACCAGCGCGCCCCTGCTTGACCTCGCACATCATGTCCAGCGTCGCGCGATGGCCTTGACCTCGGTTGCCTCGGTTGCCTCGGTTGCCGATGGCCGCGTCGAGAAGGCGCAGCTCCGCGAAATGCCTCGGAGGAGGATGAGGGGGAGACGGAGGAGGAGAGAGGAGGGGGGGGGGAAAGGAGGACGAGGAGGAGGAGGAAGAGGAAGAGGGGAAAGGAGGAGGGGGGATGAGGAGGAGCAGTCAGCCTGAGATGCGCGTACATGCCGAGGGGCTCTGACGCAGAGGCCCGTATCTTGCCCTCCTTCGGGGAACGGCGCTCGTCGAATACCTTGTGCAACTCTTTCGACTTCGCTCTCCCGTGTGCAGGGGGCAGCCGCCCGTCCATCATGTAGTCTCGGAGGTCCTCGAAGTGGACGTCCAGCTCCTCCCCGCGCGCCTGCGCCAGCAAGACAACTTCTGTGGTGAATGCTCCATCTTGCAATGCCGTGTGGGCCCAATCGATGACCGTGCTGCGCGCTGCGTCCACTGGGGCGCGAACTTGAGCCCGCGCGTCATTTGCAGTTTCCCGAATCGGTCCTCTGTCATTGCCCCTGCAGTCCACCGAGCGCGCGCCACGCGGGCAAAATCAGCAGCAACGAACACATCTGCACTGGTGTGCAATTGGAACCACGCCGGACCTGCACAGGAAATTCCAACGAATCTTGCTGACTCCAACTGAGCCGTGCCTGAGTTTTTCTTGAGCGCGTTGCAATGCCACAAGCGCGGCCTGGAGCCGTTGGCGCCGCTGTTGTTCAACGACATGCGGTGGCCATCGAGATCGGCGACCGTGAACCCGATGCGTGCGATAATGAGAACGTCCGTGCCGAAGACAGTAATAGGGGCGCCTGCCGTCCCAAGGCCAGTCGGAGACAGCAGGTGCAGCTTCGGGTACTTGCCAAACATGGCGCCCCAGCCGCCCTGGACCTGCTTGAACTAGCTGCAGCGAACAACCGCAGATGTGAACCACGCGTCGTCACTGCGTATGCTGTGCGCCCCGAGCTCGAGGAACGTGAACGATGAGTTGATGCTCTTCCTGCCGTCGCCGACCTTGAACGTTTCGCCAGGGCTGAGCTCATCATGCCCGATAACCGATGTCCACGGGCGCTCCTGGCTCGGAGCGCCGCGTCGCCGCAGTGCGGCCGCGAGCAATTCTTGCAGCACTCCGCTCTCTGATTCTATCATGGAGGGTAGCCCGTTAGGCTCCGCCAGGGGCCAGTTCCAGCTTCCGCCGCTCACCGACGGCATGTTCAACTCGTGGCGGACGCGCTCGATCCGTTCATGGTTCGTCCTGTTGATCTCATGCCTCGTGATCGTAAGATTGGCGGGTAAGTCCGCCGCCGCCTCGCGAATCGTCTTCAGCATCTTCGCGAGCCCATCCTGCGTCGCGTGACCGCGATGGAAGAGTTTTTGCAACGCCTCTCGCTCCCGACGAAACCTCGGGAGGGGGGGGAGGGGGGGGGGGGGGAGGAGGAGGAGGAGGAGGAGGGGGAGGAGGAGGAGGAGGGGGGGAGGAGGACGGGGCCTCGATCGAGAGCGACGGCGGTATGCCTTCGGGGCCATGGGCCATGCCGCTGGAACGCAAGCGCTGCGGCGCTGGAGGGCCATGCCGCCGCGTCCTTCGCGCGGCGTTGGAACGCGCGCGCTTGAGCCGGGAAGCGGCTACGGACGGGAACAGCGCGAGGCGCTGAATGCGGCAGGAGCAGCGCAGGCGCTGAGTGGGGGAGGAACAGCTCAAACGCTGGAGGAGCAGCGCAAAACGCTGGGGGGAGGGGCAGCGCAAGCGCTGGCCGGGGAAGGGCGCCAGCGCTGGAGGGGGGGGAGCAGCGCAAAACGCTGGATGGGGGGAGAAGCAGCGCAAAACGCTGGAGGAGGGAGGAACAGCGCAAACGCTGGTGGGGGAACAACGCAAGCGCTGGATGGGGAGAGGGGCAGCGCAAAGCGCTGGAGGGGGGGGGGAGCAGCGCAATGCGCTGGATGGGGGAAGGGGCAGCGCAAGCGCTGGTGGGGGAACAGCGCAAGCGCTGGGGGGAGGAGCAGCGCAAAGCGCTGGAGGGGGGAGGAGCAGCGCAAAGCGCTGGTTAGCGCCAAATGCGCTGGTGGGGGAACAGCGCAACCGCTGGGGGGATAGGAGCAGCGCAAAGCGGAGCAACGCAAAACGCTGGATAGTGCCAACAACACATGAAACGCTGGCAGCGGAAAGCGTTCGATAAAACAAACACATCAATACAGCGCTATGGGGGACTGACATAACGCATTTTCTATGTTTTAAAGGACTTGCAGAACATATATGTTCGCAGCGCGTGTGATTTTATACAGAAAACGGTAACACGTAAAACAACATAGCAAAACAGAAACATAACGCAACTTCCACAACTAGAACCATTTCAGAAACTAATTTCATCGTAACTTACACGCTGTAAAAAAACGCTTCAAACAAAACAACAGAAAACAATCAATTACTCCCGTATCTTCCACAACTTTCACCGTTCAGGTTATGTAAGATCTGGCAGATCAACTTAAGATCTGTAAGCTCAAGTTACTATCTGGAAAATCAAGTTAACACGATCAAGTTACTATCAAGTTAAGGTCCACAGCTTCCCCACAACTACCATATCTAGTTGTGCGTATCACAAGGGGAACATGGGAGCCTGGAGCGGGGAACGGGAAACCCGGAGCTCGGCGACTAATAGACCTTACTTCTTCCTCGTCTTCCTCGACCTGCTCCTCCTGCTCCTCCTGCTCCCATGCGGCATCCCCGTCATCCGTTCTGCTCCCTCTATTTCCCGTCTTTGAACGTTTCAAGCTTCGAGACGGATGCTGCTCCTTTAGGTGGCCGTGGTCGTTCCCCTCCTCCTTGTCATGCTCCCACTCCCCTCCTCCCACTTCTACTTATTGTGCTCCTCGTGCTGGTTACGCTGTATGATACTTCTGCTCATGCTGTTTGGGTTCCAGGGTCGAACATCGACATCTGGACCTGCCCATGGTGTCTGCGTTTGTGCTTTGATTGGGATTTTGAGGCGGAGCCAGCCGTGGCGGCGAGACGCCTCAATCAGGCCCGAGAAGGACAGACCACGCGCTGCTGCTGCTGCTGCTCCTCCTCCTCCTCCTCCTCCGCCTCCTCCTCCTCCTCCTCCGCCTCCTCCTCGACCCTCGAGGTAAGTCCGCCGACGCAAGGGGGCCCTAGCAGCGCAAGTGAAACGCACAGCCGCGCGGCGCGTCCGCCGCCCCCCGTCCTGGGAGGCGACCCTCTCCCCCACCAACCAGAGGGGGGGATTTTCTAGCACGACCGCTGCGCACTGCATGACCCGAGCGCGCCGTATATGCCAAAAGGCGGCATGATTTCCGGCTCCTCGGGTTGCAGACCTCCTTGCCCCGCTTGCTCGTCGATGCGGTGTCCCGTGCACAGTTCTCTGAGCTTGGCCACGGGAAGGGAGGGTATGAGGCATGGGGGAGGGGGCGGAGAGGGGGGGGGGGGGGGCACGAGGAGGTGGAGAAGGAAAGGGGAGAAATGGGAGGAGGAGGGAGGATGGGTTGGCAGAGGAAGGGGTAGTTTTTGGGAGGGGGGGGAGGACGACGAGGTGCAGACCCACTCGCGCGGTGGGCGCACGGCGTGGGCGCAGTGGACGCGACGGCGCGTGCGCCAGCGCGGGCGCATCAGGCGAGGAGAGGTAGGGGGAAGAGGAGGAGGATGAGAAGGAGGAGGAGGAGGAGGAGAAGGAGGAGGAGGAGGAGGAGGAGGACGAGGACGATGGGGAGGTGCGGGCGGACGTGAAGGGGCGAGGAGGGGGGAGGGAAAAGGCGGAAGGGGTGATGACGAGGACGGAGGATGAAGACGCGGAGGAGGCTAGAGGAGGAGGAGGAGGAGGAGGACCCATGTACTCGAACTCCCTTTATAATCCCCCCTCCCCTACAAAAACCGACCCCCCCTTCAACAACAACCGAATTTTCCGGACCCCCTGTCAACGGGGGGATTCATGTTCTGGACCCCTCTCGTCTTCGGTTTACGGAAAGCGCTCTAATAAACTGGACCCCCCCGCTTCCAAAAAAGGCGCCTTAAAAAACCGGACCCGGGGGACGATTATTAAGGGATTTCGAGTAAGCCCAAGACTCATAAACAAGTTCGCAAGAACCCTCCCTCCGAATTCCCTCTTCATCTTTTCCTACAAAGACTCATGTTCATTGTGGGAAATGCCCCGTTGGAAGACCAACGTCTGAATATTCAGAACTGTGCCAGAACGCCGTTCCTGGGACTTAAAGAGGGGTGGTGGTCTCGTCGCTTTGATGCTTGTGTCGACGAAGATCGCCAGTATCGTGGTTTTGTGTTTCTGTCACCGTGCTCGATGCTGGGGGAGTGTGCCGACTGCAGCAAACGCACGGTGAGCGAGGAACGAATGCGTGCACGCCGCAGTGGGCGCCGGCGGGTTGATTATTTTGGAGCCTTCGACCGAAGTGCAGAGTGCTTGCCAGGTTGCGAAACTTGGAGTTGTTGTGCATAACTTCGGTCTCGATTGAGCAGGGCGTTCTAATAACGCAGTTGGCGACCTTGCTGGAGCTTCTCGTCTGGTACAGGCTGAACTCTTCCCGTCCACCGTCGCGTGTCTCGGGTCGTGGCTTCGTCACCAAACCTTCGAACTCAGCGGGTACGTCGCCTGAGGAGGTCTACGGTGCAAGGCGATCGCCACGAACGCTAAGTCGGGCATGTCCCTCTACAGGAAGAAAATCCAAATATAGCCAGAACATAGCATGGGGACGATTTTGTGATCGTTTTTGGATGTTTGTGATTCTTTGGCTATTTCAATTTTTCGCCCAGAATCCGCCTGTAAGAGGACATGCCCGACATACCACGAACGAAATGTACGCATGTGGTTCACTGCTGTAGCGGGATGTCGCAAGGCTGCTCGACCAGCGCCGACGGAACGGCTCGTTTCCGACCTGGTCTCCGTGGCGCCAGACGCCCCCTTCGAGAAGCCGCCTTGCCGCGGGCACTTCCTGCACTGCTCCGAATGTCTCGGGGCCCACCAAGGGGGGGGGGACCCTGAGGAGGGGGTGAATTCGATCCGCCATGGTGCATCGAATTTCCGGAAAACGATGCCCCCCGCGCGCCCCGATTGTCGACACCTCTCAAGTTCCGGCGGCGTCTGGAGAGCTCGTTTTGCATAGTTTTTCTGCGGTTTGATGCGCCAACGGACCAGGCTCACGACCCACCCTGTGGCTCCCCCCTTTTGCGAGGTCCCGAATGTCTCGCCGTGGAGGCAAAGGGTGTTCTAAAGCGGAGCCAGTCCTGAGGTCTTTCGCCGCTTTGGCAGAAGATGACATACGCCATAAGCATAAGCTTTTGGCGCTCCGCGCGGATTTCTTGGCTCTGCGCTAGGCCCCCTTCCCTGGTGCAAAGAGCGCGCCAGGGGCGGCGCTGGAGGCGCCGCCAGGGGGTCCCAGCGCGGATCCAAGAAATCCGCGCGGAGCCCTACAAATTTATGTTTATGGCGTTTTGCCTTCTTCGATTTGGGGCTCTTGCGGCCCTCCCTGGGCCCCAGGACCATCAACAAAGACGGCTCAGGATAAAGAGCTGCTCCCAGGGGGAAGCTCCGAAGTCCAAGACCTTCGGGGCAAGGTCAGGGGGCGGACTTGCTCAAAGGGGAAACATAGCCACGGACTTGGCGATACATCGCCGGTAGATCGGCGACAGGCCCCCGCTAGCGAATCCGCATGTTCCTTGGCTGGGTGGGCCATCAGGCGAATAAATCGGCGATCTATTATGGCGATTGGAGGTCCATCGTTTCCCACGTGCCAGCCCTGACATGCGATGTTTTTTTTTTTGCAAAGGCGGGGCCCCTGGCTGGACCCTTTTTCCCCAAGGCCCGCTCTTCATCCCCCGAGCCGGTCTTTGACGACGGTCCTAGAGGGCGGCGAGGGCCCTCGGAGGCCGAAACTGGCAGCAGAAACGCCCGCCGTCATTTGTGAACGTTCTCTTACCCAAATCCCCTCGCGCTGTAAAACAAATCAGGACGGAATATTTCTCGCTATTTTCGGCAACTCAGGATGAGCAACTGGTCCCGGGGAAGGGGTTCAGACCGCTTGGGTTAAGTCGGGCCTTTTTCCCTACAGGGGGATTTTCGACGACAAATAAAAGAAAAACCCAAGCATGCTCAAAAGATGCAGAAAAAAAACTAAACAAATCGGCCCCAGACAATTTGTTTACTATTTCTGAATATTCCCCCTGTAAAGGGACACGTCCGACTTAACTCTTGGGGTCGACGTTGTGAAAAAAACGCGACGTGGGAGGTCTGGGTTATTCGGCGTTTCGGCATTGAGCAGAACGGGGGGGAGGACATACCTCCATTTAGTAAACCTCCATTCGTGAAAACGGCCTAGGACCGAAACCGACGGACCTGGACCCGCAAAAATGACGGCCGCGACGCCCATTCGCGAACCGAAAACGGCCAATTCCTTAATCGACGTGTCAGGGTAGGAGGTCTGTCCACCCCCGAAGAACGGGGGGGGAGGGAGGGTCTGGCTCCGGACCTCTGCTCCGTGCCACCGTGTGCAGCAGGCGCGTCCTCTTGGGGAGGCCGCACCTGCTCGAAGCAGGCGCCAACACACACAGCCAAGACTTACTCCACGTGGGGAGAAGGGGTTGCACGCCTGAGGTCTAAGTTGGGCCTGTCCCTCTACAGGGGAAATATTCAGCAATAGTCAAAAAATAATACGTGGACTATTTTTTGAATATGTTTTGATCATTTTGGAATATTTTTGGAGCATCTCTTATTTCTCGTCGGAAATCCCCCTGTAGGGACACGCCCGACTTAAACTTAGGTCGGGCATGTCCCCCTACGGGCGGATCCTGGTTACAAAATAAAAAAAAACATGAGATACACGAAATCTGCAACACAACATGAAACATCGTCCCCATGCTGTTCTGTGACTGCTTTGGAATGTTCCTCCAATAGAGGGACAGGCCCGCCTTCATGCACGACGCGAGCGCCTGTCTGGGCAGCTGTCGCCGCCTGCGCTCCGCGGCGGGTGGGGCCGCCGCCGCCGCGGCTCTCCGCTCGCGGGCCCCCGGGCCCCCCCCGCCGGGGAGCTCGGGGAGGGGCGCCGCGAGCTGCTGCAGCGGCGCCCTGGGGCTGCGCGCCGCCCACGCCCTGGGCGACGATCGGGAACGCGTCTTGCGCGAGATGGCACAGCGGCCTTCCCGAACCCCCTCGCACTGTGAACACAAACGCAGCGGGACGGCATTCTTCTCGGTTTTCGGCCTCCCGGGGCTCTCTTACTGAGCCCCGGGGCCGTCAGGAGAAGCGGCGCAGGAGGAAAAACCAGTCCCGGGGAAGGGGCCCAGACCTCTCGGGGCCGGCGCTGCGAACGAGTCGCGACGTCGGGGGCCTGGGGCGGCCTGGCGCGGGCCGTCAGCGCGGCACACCGCGTGGAGAGGAGGGCGCCCGCGCGCGACCCCGCGCTGGCACAGCCTGCGCGCGGGCGCCTGCGCAGTCGGCCCCGTGCTCCTCCGCCGCTCCGGCGAGAGGGAGGCGCAGGCACCGCGCGGTGGGCGCGCCCGTGCGCTGGCGGCCTCCGCCTGCGCGGGGGGTGGGCGGGCGGCGTGCGCGGCGCCGCCTTCGCCGAGCCCGGGCCCGCTCGCACGGCTGGCGGGCGCGCGCGGGCTCGGACGTCTGCGCGTCGATCGGGTGCCCTGCGCCTGGGGCCATGCCGGCAGGCGCCGGGGTGCTCGAGCTGTGGGCCCATGGGTGTTGGCCAGGGCATCGAGCAGGGGAGGTCTCTTGCAGGCGACTCCTGTCAAAGGTGCAGCGCCGCTGCGCTGAGCCTGTCCACTTCCTTCACGAGGACTGGCGGCGAGGCAGCGCGTGATCGAGGGCAGCGGAGCGCCCAGTGGGCCTGGACTGCTGAAGAACCGAGGTGATTTCGCGACGCCGACCCTGGTGCACCTGAGCAACGGGCCGACTCGGTTGCCAAGATCAGCCCGCCGATGGCCGATGGAGACCCCGTTCGCCTCTCGTCTTGGCAGCGGGCACGCGACCCCTCACGCGCCCGCGCTGCCGCTTCTGCCGCCGCCGTCCGTTCCGCGATGCGTCTTCTCGACGGCTGGCCTCGAGCATGCGAGCACGAAGGGGCCCAAGGACACACACACACACACAAATACACGCACAAATAGCAGGAATCCCAATCTTTCCCCAGATTTTCAGGGTTTTCGTCTTCCTCCCCACTTCCCATATTTTCCCATACCTTCTGGGGACTCGACGATTAATTGTGTCTGTGTCTGATGGCGGGGAGCGGCGCGCGGCGTGCGAGGTGCGCGGAGCCGACGGGTGCTGATCTCCTCTGACCTCGCCTTCGCCTGTCGCGTCCTCCGCGCCCACGGACCTGGGGCGCTCGAGTGCTCGCCTGCTGGCCGGGCCAGGGGCGCTTACCAGGTCGACAACGGTTTCCGCGTTTGCAGCCTTGGCGCGCAGTGGACAAGGCACGAGCAGGTGACACCCCAGCCTTGCCAGTCAAGCACTGTTTTTTATTCTTTTGTTCACCGTCTGGCGGAGTTAACAGGCGAGCTGCAAGGCAAAACTGGAGAAAACGCGCAAATGACAAATAATAACGTAATGTGGCGATGTTTGCTTTCGTACAGATTTCCATCATCCGTTGTACTAATTGCGGCACGCCGATGTGGTGGCGAAGGTGCTGCGCTGCGCCACCCACCTCTGGGCAGGGAACGCGATGGAGCCCTCCTTCCGCTCCACGCTGCGTCGAGGAGGAGGAGTGGAGCAGGAGGTGGGGGAGGACGTAGAGGTGGAGGGAGCAAGAGAAGGGAGGTGGGGGATGGGCAGGGGGAGGAAACACGCATGCCCTCGACTCGAGGGGACCTCGAGCCCAGAGAAAACGACCTCAAACGTCAAATAACACCTTCGAGCTTCGATCCTGGAACGTCAATCCTTAGGAGGAGCTGGTGACCCCCTCGGTGGTGACTCCCCTCGGCAGTGCCCGATGAGGGAGAGACGACTGAGGACAACCGAGCCCCGTCAACAGTCCTGGGGGGGGGGGCGGGATGAGGAGGAGGAGGAAGAGGAGGAGGAGGAGGAGGAGGAGGAGGAGGAGGAGGAGGAGCAGGAGCAGGAGGAAGAGGCGGATGAGGAGGAGGAGGAGGAGGAGGACAAGGAGGAGGAGGAACAGCATCAGGAGCAGGAGAAGGACGAGAAGGATGAAGAGGGGGAGGAGGAGGAGGAGGAGGAGGAGGAGGAGGAGGAGGAAAAGGAACAGGAGGAGAAGGAAGAAGAGGAGGA